GATCTTGATTGTTCTTGAATTTGATCATTCTTGAACTCTTGAATTCTTGAACTTGTAGAGAAATCTGCAGCTTTGGATCCACGAGGTTTCTCTAGCTTCTTGTTAGAATTCTTGGTTCCTTTTTTGAATTATGAGGACCCATGTTTATAGTTTTAAAATAGAAGAGTTATGATTGGAATGGGATTCCCTTCAGGTAATCAAATTTAAGTTACATGGCATATGGGCTTTATGGACAAACTTTAATTAAATCATATTTATTGAATTTAAATAATTAACTTAATTATATTAACACACAATATTTATTTGGACTAATATCTTCATTAATTTAATATAATTCAAATCAATTAATAAATTTATATTTAATAAATTTTAAATGGTTACAATCTATATAGCTAATTTATCAAGACTTGTGTCTAAACGTTCAAATAAGTTTTGAGAGTGACTATTTTTCAAACTCTCTCATGTTACTGCTTGCCTTCCAAAATGATTTAGTTTTCATCCTAAGATACTTTTAACAAAAAAGCTTAGTTATCATAAGAAGTAGATAATAAATTATCATTTAATGCACGACTAAATATATGCTATTATAGACATTTAAAAATGTTCAATATTAGCTAATCTGTGTTTTGCGCGGTTATGTATATAATCTCATTAAGCTTATGAACATCATTTTCAATATTCTACTGTTATAAGAAAAAAGAAAGAGTAAATAGGTTTTAAGAACATTTCAACGAAAATTAAATGATTTGAAATAATCACATATCTCAAGAATTCTAAATCTATAAAGAATGATTAAAAGTATCTTGATATCTAGTCATTTTTATCTTTAACTTAATTTATCATAATATATGTTAGGTGATTTAGTTGTCTTGTTAATATTGGTTGACGCTGACAGTTTTATAGTTAGAGTATACTCCTTGTGAAAAACATTATTATGTGAATGTTTTCAAAAATCAATATAAGTTAAAAATAAGTTAAGACTATTAAAAATTTGCACCACAATTACGTAAATAAAAAAATTTAAAGACTGTTTGGTTATTTGAGTCTAAATGTTCACCACTTTTCATTATTTTGTTGCTCAAATATAATTTATAGAGGGATAAAAATAAATTTGAAACAACAACAAAATAATATTTTTGATCCCTTTTAGAAATTCATTCTTCATTATGCCGTTGCTCAGATGCTTCATCTATGCAACTTTATAATTTTCTTAGAAATATATATGTAGACTTGTTGCATTATGAAAGTACCGGTAGATCAAAATATTGGATTCTAGAATCATGGTAAAAAAGATAATCTCAAACATGAAAAAATTTAAAATGAGTCTAACCTAGATAACTCAAAAGCTCAGAAATGACTTGGCACATGAAGGACATTTAATACATTTAAATAGATAGAACACTAGCAGCTTAAGGTATTGATTTTATTTAGAGTAGGTTTTGTTTCATATTCTTCAAATTAATCTTGTCTAAAATATTCATAACTCACCTCAAAAATATTTAAAAGGGCAGAATGAAAATGAAAAAAAATAAATTAAAAGGATGAAAGTCTTGTCCAAGTGAGATCATATACATGTTAAACAAAAAATAATCAATATAATATCAAGGAGACAACAAAATAGCTAGAAAAAACATACATTAAAGGGAGTAAACTATGAGATATCCAATGATGATAACAAATTGTTTTAACTAGAAAAGGACCTATGTGTTGGAATGACATAACTCAAAAATTTGACTAACACATCAATAAACTTTCAATCTTTAAAGTACTCATAATATTCAGTGATAAAATTTAGTAAAAATAGATAAGGATAATTTAAAAACAAAAAAATATGAGTATGCAAAGTCATTAACTCTTTGAGGGTTTTCTCAAGAACGGAAAATCTTATCCTTTTATGTGAAGCAATGACATTGTCGATGAAGAAATTAGAGATCCCAGAAAGGAGCAACAATTTTCTTTTGAATTCTAAAACGATGTTTGGGTTGAAGTTGATGTACAATAGTCTTGAAATAACACAACATAACTTCAAGCAATGGAGATATTACTAGCCTTGTAATCCATAGTAGTAGTTTTCAACAATAATTTTTGTTTTTTCATAATACGCATTCTTCTAAAAGAATAACATCAACTAAAAAGATCTAAAGCAGACTAACTCTTTTTCTCGCATGTTTTTTGAAGTTTAATCTCTTTTACTACAATAGGATAATACTTTAAAGAACTTTTGACCATACAACTCCCTTCTTCTTCTCTAATACTTTTCTTTTTTCTTCTTGAATATATTTATCTCTCTCATCACCATCAACAATTTCGTTGTCCTGTTTTCTTTTTACTAAATCAGACCAACATCATAAGATCTTTTTCCCATTTAATTATACGCCCTTTTTCTTCAATGTCTCCAAAGGCTATATATAATTTTCAGTTATTCTTGTTAAATTCAATTGTTATGCCATTTAATAACTCTCGACTGTACAATCACAAATTCAGAAAACAAAGATAAATGAAACATCAACAAGTTTGAGTGCGAAACTTAAAGAGGTGGTACATTAGTTACTAACCTCCTTAAATTTAGATCTTTATAATTTTATTAGATCTAGCTTGTTGAAATTATAAAGGTAGACAAATTAAAGTAAACATTTTATTTTATAACTTATATCTACGTTTAACGACTATCTATTTAACAAAGGCTAATTACTTTTCCAAGATAAAAGTAAAATAAACTCAGTGCATCGCTTGTTTACCCCAAATTTGATAATTTATATGATGTTAAATGGTACGACAATATAGCATATTCAAACCAAATTTGCTCACCTATAATCAATGGATGAATCCATGAAAGTACAAGCAAACACAATTTTTAATACATATAAAATCTTAAAGGTTTAAAGAGCTTACTAGATAGAATACCACCCAATGTATGCCGAAAAAGTTTCACATACCACAATAATCAATCTTTTCTGATAAAACATAATAAGTACATGTTCATACTACCATTGTTGGCTATAAATAGAGGAGTTTCCTCACATTTTTAAACTACAAATTTTCTATCTATTCTTCTTCTTCATAAAACACCCAATTTAGTACATATTCTTTATTTATTTATATTATCTTATAATATAAAATTTATTAAAAGAAGACACTTTATCACATTGAATAATTGTGACTTTTTCAAAGTACTTGTGACTTTTCTAAAGGGTTGTTTAACTTTCCAAAGAGTTGTGACTTTTTCAAAAAAAATTGTGACTGTACCAAAGAGTTGTAATTTTTCCGAAGGGTTGTGACTCCTCTAATAAAGCACAATAAGCACTTGTTCATACTACCGTTTATTGGCTATGAATAGAGGGGGTTCTCTCACATTTTTAAACCACAAATATTTTAAGTTATCTATTCTTATTCTTGGTAGCAGTCAATTTAGTTCATATGTTATGTTTCATACTATATTTTATTAAACAACGTAATGGACCATTGGTTTAATTTATTAACTATCTCAAAGATGTTGGATAAGTACTAATTCCAAGTCTTAGCCCAAATTCGGCAAACTATTTCATACTATATTTATTTATTATAAAATATATTAAAAGCATACACCTTTTCTTACTCAAGAATTGTGACTTTTCTGATGACTTGTGACTTTTCAAAGAATTGTGACTTTTCAAAAGGACTGTGACATTTCCATGTCGGCCAAACTTTACGACATTTCGGAGATAGGATAAGACAACAACATTTCAACTCCCAATAAAATATATTAATAGGTACAAGTATCTTATCAAGTTGCGGCGGAATTTATTCTCCTCTTCCACAATTCTGATTCCATCAAGAATGCTTAAATAATTTTAATTACGAAAAATATAAAAGTAATACAATACAAATTCATAAAACATAAAATTTTACAAATCATTGAATAATACAGTAACTTAAGTTGTCAGACAAAGTGATGATATATATAAGGAAACAATCCACAAAAAGAAGCAGGTATGAACCAAAATATTGTCATCGTTGTGATTAGTTGTTGAAGAATTGAACAGTTTAAATAGTTTTTCATTTGACAAATTGAATGGAGGAAAAACTACAAGGAAAATATAGTTTTGTTTCATTATTTTTATTTTCGATAAAGATTCAAAGTAGACTTTCAAGAAATTGACAAAGTTTGACAGAAATTAGGGATGAAATTTTTCACGAAGAAGAAGATACAACAACGTATATGATGTGCCTATTTATTGTAGGTAGTTCCTAAAGAGACACAACACAAGGGATACAATAGTTTGAAGGGACACAAGAGTTGAATAAGTGGATATGGGTAAAGTCTCCCAACTATATTTGAAAATGAATTGGTTATCCATAAAGAGAAAGAAAGTTTTCTTCTAGTTCCGCTTCTTGCTCTTTCAATTCAGAAAGACTTGTTGGAAATCGCCGGTTGGGTTTGTCCGATTTAAAGGTAAAGATAAAATAGGGATTAAAAAAGCTAAAAGTGCAGAGAAAAACATAAAAGTAAATTCCTTAATTTTAAGGATGCCACGAAGGTGGACCTAGAATTTTCTTATATGTTAGACATTATCGTGACTCGAGTTTTCTGATCGTGACGACTAATAAATATCAAAAAGGAGAAGACAAAGTAGTAGTTGATGTAGTAATTTAGTGATAATGTTTATATTACAGAAAGAAAAACTTTTTTTGATTTGTTAAAATGAATAAGTACAAGGAAAAATTATTATAAGTTCTTTGCATAATGAAACTGAATAGATAATTAACAAGCACTTTTTTTTTGAAGTGACGTGGCTCAAAATTCAAATAATTAGCCACAAATTGTGGCCCACAATGGTACTTCATAGAATTCTTTTTTGAAACGAAAGATGATGCATTGAGAAAACTTTAGAACCACAAAAATGCATGTTTAAAGGATAATTTGTTGGGGATCTTAATGTGAGAGAAATTATGTGTTTGGATCCCACACAAATAAGGCAGGAAAGTCTCTGAAAAACATAATTCAATGAAGAAAATGTAAGATGGCGGGTGGAATAATGAAGAAATTGCCTGAAGATATAATTGTTTATGTACTTTCAAGATTTCCTGTTAAATCGCTTATGCGATTAAAAAGCATCTCTAAATCATGGTACATTCTTATAGATTCGTCCAGTTTCACGCATTTACATCTTAATCATATAAATAATGAATTCATTCTACTTACGTGCTCTGTCTACGAAGAGGAGTATGAAAAATTTAAAACTGACATGTCGTTTCTCTCCAATGATAGTAATGATAATCTTAACCCTTTTAATCAAGATTTTCAAGATTGTGATGTGTCAGAGCTAACTGCTGCTTTTAGTAGTAATTTTGATGAATTTATTGGTCCTAGCCATGGTTTGATTGCCTTGGTGGGTTCGATTGACACGGTCATATTTAATCCAACTACTAGACATTATAGGGTTCTCCCTCCCAGTCCTTTTGATTGTCCAGAAGGTTTTTATCATGACATTAATGGCTTGGGATTTGGCTTTGACCCAATGTTGAATGACTATAAAGTTGTTAGAATTTCAAAGGTTTACACGGATCCTTACAAATATTCATATCATAGTATTAGGGAGAAAAAAGTCGAGGTGTATGATATGTGGGTAGATTCGTGGAGAGAATTAGATATTTTGGATCAACAGTTACCTGGTATCTATTGGTTACCGTGTTCCCAGAAGTTTTACAAGGGTTCCTGTCATTGGTTTACAAATACTACAGATGATAATAGCGTTGCAGTTTTTTGTTTCGATATAACAACAGAGACTTTTCGCATTATGAATATGCCGGATTGTTGTCACTTCTTTTATGGACCACGTTATGGGCTCGTAATCTTAATTGAATGTCTTACATTAATTTGCTACCACGACAGAGAACCACAAGTTGATCCATCAGAAGATATGATAGATATTTGGATAATGAAGGAATATGGTGTATCTGAGTCCTGGATTAAGAAATACACAATTCAACCTCTCCCAATTGAATATCCGTTAGCAGGTTGGAAAGACTATTTGTTGTATTTTCAAAGCACACGTGGTCTTCTGATTTCTTATAATCTTCATTCCGATGAGGTCAAGGAATTAATTTTACATGGTTTTTCTGGAACTTTGAGAGTTGTAGTTTACACGGAAAGCTTGATCCAAATTCCAAGAGGAAGAGATCATAGTAGACAAGTTAAACATTTTCATAGAACGTATAACTCTTCTACTGTGACTTGAGGATATTTTCTACAATAATTTTTTCGCGGTGATCTACACAGTGTTTTTTTAAAAGTACCATGTTTATACGGTAGAAAATTTTATAGGATTCTACAAGACATGTTCAATTCAAGTTGGGTCTCTACAAGGTGTGTTTAATTTCAATTAAAATTTTTGGAAGCTACTCAACCCTAAAACCGTAGTTCATGCCTATAAAAAGGGTACTATATTCCCTTTCAGAGATATCTAAACTATTATGACAGAAGATTCAAGGGAGTAACAGAATTGTATGCGCACTATTATCAATAAAATATTTATATTATTTAAATTTTTTTTGTGTGGTTGATATATTTCTCATATGCTTAAAATTTATTGAAAACACGCACAGACATATATTTATTTTTTCTACTATTGTAGAAAAGGCTTGTTTAACATATTTGCTTAATGTCCTTTAATTCAAATCTTAAGAGTATCTTTGTCTTTTTAATACTTCATTCTAGCATACGTGTTTTGTAGAGGTACTTCGAATGTACACGCCATTATTTATGTGTCTGGTTTTACTTTCTACTTTTTCCTTCACTACTCTCTACTCCTTGGAAGATTTTGGTACAGAAAATATCTTCTCCTTTTATCACTATTCATCTCAGGTAAATATCCTTCAACTCGTTTCTTTGATTTTTTCTGACATTTTGTTTATCCCAAAACAATGATGGTTGTTTTTTCTTCTTATAGATGTAATTGTTAAGCTTATGTTTGAAGGAAGATTTACAATAGGCTCTTTAATATGCAATCATCAATTTTATCTTTTGTTGATGAAATTTGATCCTGTCTTTATATTTCCTTCTTTTCTTTTTCGGTTTGTTGTTTTTCAATTTTGTTTGAATTTGGGAGTGTACAATTTTACTCTGATTCCGGCTCTAGATTACGAACCGCATTCTCCTTCCTTCTTTTATCTCCTTGATCAGTAACGGTTCAATAACTATGTTGTGCTCCATTCTCCTAATGCTATTAAATGTCAAGAAGTTGTCGAGAAATCATACTGTCTTTATTACAACATAATCATTATATTCATTCTTTCTTCCTTCTTAATATTTTTTCTTCTAAAAATTACTTGTTTAATACTATGCTAAATAAAAGAAGACTTACAAAGAGAAAAAAATTTGGACGAGTAAATAGACAAGAGACGCAACTTTCCTCTTTCAAATTCAATAACATGATCTGCATCAATTTAGGAGTTAGCTCAGTAGTTGAATGCAATCATTTTGAATTTTGCTGCAGTTGGGTGAGTGAATGAGTAAATTAACATTATATCTTACTTTTGTTGGCACAAGAGATGAACAAACATAATACAATAAGAAGAAAAGCAGAGAGAAACTTGAGTATTTCTTATTTCTCATAAAACTAGCGTACAAGATTATAAATAGCACTTGGAAAACAACAAACTAAGAGAGAAAACAGGGCACTATCCCATGACTTGCTAATTGACTAACTGCAACTAAATTAGGACTCCTAATGCTAATAAACTGAATACGTAAAAGGCTCCTAAAAATACTGACAGTAACTTAGTGACTTTTGAATCAGTCAAATAACACTTCCCCTTGATTCAAAATCACACACTCCCAACTGCAACCTGAAAAATTCACGCTTAGCCTGAGGAAGAGACTTCATAAATATATTCGCTGCTTGCTCGTTTGTGCCACATAATTTCAACACTATTCTTCCATCAGCTAGCAATGCCCGGATGAAGTGATATTGCACATCAATGTGCTTGGTTCTCCCATGAAAAGAGGGATTCTTAGCCATAGCAATTCCTGATTTGCTATCAGAAAAAATCTCAGTAGACTCCTTTTGCTCGTAACTAAAATCTGCAAGTAGTTTTCGGAGCGATAAAGCTTGTCGTGCTGCTAAACTTGCTTAGCTGTATACTCCGCCTCAGACGTTGACATATCTACTGTCTCTTGCTTCTTTGAACTCCATGTCACTGCTCCAGAACCAAAGCTAAAACAACTACCAGAAGTGCTTTTTTGATCGTCCTAACAGCCTGCATAAACACTATCTGTATAGCCAACCAATATGAAATTTGATACTTTAGAATACCAAATACCAAAGTCCGTCGTTCCAGCAACATAGCGAAGAATTCTTTTTGTCAGCACTTAAATGTTGCTTTGTCGGACTCTGCAAAAATCTGGACACAACACTAACAGAAAAAACAATGTTAGGTCTAGTGTGCATTAGATAATTTAAGCCACCAACTAGACTTCTGAACAATCTCGGATTTGCTTTCTCAGTTCCATCTGCACGCTGCAACTTCTCATTGATATTCATAGGTGTAGTTGCTGTTTCACAATTCATCATATGAAATTTTTCCAAAAGATCCTTTGCATAATTCTTTTGAGAAATAAAAATTCCATCTTTATCTTGTATTACTTCAAGCCCCAAAAAGTATTTCAGTAAACCCAAATCAGTCATCTCAAAGTTTCTCATCATACTGGACTTGAAATCATCAACTAAAGACTTTGAGGAACCAAAATAAATCATATCATCAACATAGAAACAAACTACCAAAAATTCTCCATAACCTTGCTTCTTTAAGTACAATGTGGGTTCATTTTTACTTCTCGTGAATCCGCTATCCTGAAAGAATGAATCAATTTTGCTGTACCACGCACGTGGAGCTTGCTTTAGCCCGTAAAGAGCTTTTCTTAGCTTGTAGACTTTGTTCTCATTGCCATTAATAACAAAGCCCTGAGGTTGTGAAACATAAACCTCTTCTTCTAGATCACCATTCAAAAAAGCAAACTTCATATCAAATTGATACACGGGCATACACAATTGCGCAACCAAAGACAAAACAACTCTCAGTGTTTCAAATCGTGCAACAGGAGAAAAAGTTTCTTCAAAATCTATACCTTGTTGTTGTGAATATCCTTTTGCCACTAGACGAGCTTTATGCTTTTGAATGCTCCCATCTGCATTGCACTTTGTTCGAAATACCCACTTGAACCCTATCACGTTCCTTCCTTCAGGCGAATCAACTAACTCCCAAGTAGAATTTCTTTCAATTACTTGCATATCTTCTACCATAGCATTCTTCCATTCAGATTGTTCTGCCGCCTCTTCATAACAAACAGGATCTGAAACAAGCAAAGCAAATTGACAAGAAGTATTTACATTGTTAGGATATCTGGGATTTGGTTTCTTTTCTCCTGTTGATCATCTTAGTGGAATTGGCTCATCAGAAGATTCGTCAAGTGTTGCAGCTGTTGTTGGTGCACTAGGCAAGTTTCCAGGAGTAGGATATGCTGCTGCAGGTTCTTCATCAGTAGATAACAATTGGAGATTTGATCTCAAATTCCCAAAATTAAAGTTCGAAGAGGCATTCTCATTAAACACAACATTTCTACTTATGATCACTTTGCCACTTCTGAGATTTTATAGACGATATGCTTTGGATTGAAGACTATAGCCAACAAAAATACATTTTTCAGATCATTCATCAAGCTACGAATGAAAATTAACCAAAGCATATGCTATACAACCAAAAATTCTTAAGTGTCTTACCCGTGGCTTCTTACCATTCCAAGCTTCAAGAGGTGTGTGTTCCAAACAACTTTTGTTGGAGAGATATTCAAAAGATAAACAACGGTTGCAACAACTTCTCCCAAAAAGTAATCTGGTAGACCTTTTGCTTTAAGTAAGCTTCTAGCCATTTCCACTATCATCCGGTTCTTTCGTTCGGCCACACCATTCTGCTCCGGTGTGTATGGTGCTGTAAGTTCCCTGCGAATTCCATTCTAATCACAGAAGACATTAAATTCTTTAGAGAAGAATTCACCACCTCTATCGGTACAAAGTGATTTTATCTTCCTGCCACTTTGATTCTCAACTAATGCTTTAAATTTCTTGAAATTCTCAAAGGTTTCTGATTTGAATTTCAAGAAATAAACCCAGCTAAAACGGCTGTAATCATCAGTAAACATAAAAAAATATCAACTTCCATCGAGGGATTCCATTTTCATTGTCCCACATAAGTCAGCATGCACAAGTTCAAGACAAGTCGTAGCCCTCAATGATTTTCCTACCGGAAATGATTTCCTAGCTTGCTTCCCATAAATACATCCTTCACACAAGTCAAGTTCATTGATTTTTAGCAAGCCAATAACCATATATTTTTGAACCAAAAGTTTCAACCCATTAACATTCAAATGCCCATAACGTAAGTGCCACAGATTAGTCTCATTCTTTCCTTTGACAACTAAGACAATATTTTCAACACCTGAAATATCAAGGGGAAACATTTTATTTTCAGTCATAGATACATGAGCTATGGTGCGTCCATATTTCTTATCTTTGATATCACATGCTTGAGCATCAAACACAACTGAGTACCCACTAGTCATCAATTGGCCAACACTTAATAGGTTGTGAGCCAAAGTGGGAACATATTGCACGTCATATAAAAGTTTCATTTTACCTTGGACAGTTTTAATCTCAACAATAACTTTCCCTTCAACGTGCACTTCTTTGTCATCTCCTAGCCGCACCTCGCTTTTTTGTGACTCATCAAGAGCTCTAAATAGAGACTTCGAACTTGACATGTGATTGGAGCATCTGCTATCAATGAACCACACAACATTTTCACTTTCAGTTATTTGGGAATGAGTCATAAACAACTTACTTTCTTCTTCCACATTTTGAGTGAAATTGGCTTCCTTCTGCTCATCTTTCTGCTTTGTCCAACAATCGACTTCTTTATGGCCAAATTTCTTGCAGTATCGGCATTGTATTGTGCTCTTATATTGACGTGATTCACCAACCTGGTTTCTACCTCTGCCAACACCACGACCTCGTCCATGAATATTGCCTTTGCCATGTCCCCTACTTGCCGAGTTTTCTGTTTTTCCTTTGTAAGAGAACTCACCCTTTACCTGGAATGCCTTCACTTGAACTTTCTCACGGGACCTATTTAGCCTATCTTCATGAGCTGGCCAGGAACTCATTAATTCATCAAAAGAATAAAT